CCCATTACTTAACCCTTTCAGGGTCCGTCCCGTAGATCTACGGCTGGTCGGTGAGTGTCCAAACCGTAGATCTATGCCAAAATTCTAGCGCCGTCAAATTTAGCGCAAAAGCGCTCATAGGCCTACATGTGAGAGAATGGGTCTGCGCCGTGGGTGTGCGCCATAAACAAAAAATCTAGGCGCCTGCATAGCATTGTGGGAACGCCGGCTCAGTCACCCTTGTTCACCATGCCTCGTCGCAAGTCAGCTCTCACTCCCCGGAAAATTGGGACTCTCCTCTTCCTGTCTGATAGTTCTGACACTGATGGAAGTGGAAATGAAGACGAATTCTACGGCTTTGATAAGTTAGGACCGAAAATAATGACCAGATATCGATAATGGTGCAGAAAACCCCAACGTTTCCTCGACCTTCTACCTCTGGTGTGGGCACTCGTGACTCACGGTCGGTGTTCCTAAACGAAAGAGAAAACTAATATTTTCCCGTGGCCTGGCCTCTGACTTCAGTAATGACGATGATTCTGACGGGGATTGGTGATTTTATTGTGTTCCGCGATCATTCGAGTAGTGATAGTGAGGAAACATATTCACCATTGAAGCGTGGGAAATGTTCCCCCGCATGCGCTTGGGTAGTGAACCCTATGCTGTGCCCAGGGGACGGAGTACATCCCAGAGTACATCCCGAGTACATCCCGGCCCAAACACCCGTTTTAGGTAGTGATAGTGAGGATGATTGGCTACACTTGCATGGAGGGGCCACGGGCATCAGTGTTTGGTGTTAGTGGGGCGGGTGGTGGTATTTGGCACCGCCATGGTGACTCACTGTGCCATGCGGGGACCCACGCTGCTGACTCGTCAGTTCAAGGACAAAGCGGAGCGTCACACCCCACCAGCCCGCCACAAACCACCCCGATACAACCAGCCTATGAGTCCATTATCCACCAGCAAACCGTATCTGGGATTGCAGCAAAATCCCAATTTTGTTCCCAGCCCTCACCACTTTGATGACTCTCAAAGGGGAAATTTCTACCTACCTGTTCCCTTGGAACCACGGCCAATGAACTGGAATTCTTTGAATTATTCTTTGACCAGCCATTGATGGAAATTATTGTCGGGGAAAGTAATAAGTATTTCATACAACCATGGCAAATACGATCTTATCACCACAGTCAGACTACACAGTGGAAAGAGACGACTTTTTGCAGAAATGTATTTGCTTTTGCAACAATAATGCTTATGCCTCACGTCTATAAGCATAATATAAAACGAAACTGGTCCACAGATGGGCTAATTTGAACCCCATCCTTCAGTAAAATAATACCAGTGAACAGGTTTATCTTACTGTTACGTATGTTGCACTTCCTGACAAAACCGGGCCTGACAGAAGTACAGGTTATAACAAGATTAGAATGTTTCTTTGTATCCAAAAACAAAAGTTCAGGATATACTTTATTCCATTCAAAATCTTGTAATTGACGATCTTTGATTTGTTCAAAGGTAAAACTGTCATTCAAGCAGTAATACCGAGCAAGAGGAACCGCTTGGTATAAAATTGTTTGTACTCTGTGATTGTGACAGTGGCCTGGTGTTGGATATTGTTGTATACACGGGTAGTAAAACATTGAAAGATACCAAGATGTTATTGGGTATATCAGGTAAACGTAGTGAAAAACATGATGGCACCTTATCTTGGTAAGGGCCATACATTAATATACCGATAACTGGTACACAAGCCCATTACCCCAGTGATTTCATGCAGTAACAAGACAGATGTGTGTGGCACAGTGCGTTCTAATCGTAAACATATGCCCAGGCTCAACGCAGGTTCGTGGTGATGACGTGCAGGTGTTTACTGCCAATGACATCATGGCATTACGGTGCATGACAAACAAAATGTCCACATTGTTGACAACCATTAAACCGTAATGAAATGCAAGACAGGCAAAGTTGATCGAGTGACTAATGAACGTATTTGAAAACCAGTGACAGTGATTGATTATACACAAAACATGCGCTTGGTTGACAAGTGTGACATGCAGATTGTTTGTTGACTGTGTTCGTAATAGTTACAAGTGGGTACAAAGAAACTTTCTTCCCCTCTCATGGACATTTCAATGCTGAATGCATATAATAAGTACCAAATAAAGACTGGTAACAACCACCGTATGGTGAATTTGTTTGTCTGTTGTCAGACAACTCATAATGAAGTACCAGGTTTAAAAACACCTGCAATACAACATGGTCCTCGAATTCATCACAATATACCCAAGCGTTTGAGGGGAGAAGGTGATCATTTTATAATACAGCTTCCTTCCCCCAAAAAAAATTTGCTCAGAAGAGATGCATTGTCTGTGCACAAACAAAAACGACGGCAACAAAGACGCAAAGACAACTCGGTTTATGTGTGAGGAATGTAAGGTGCCTCTGTGCACGGTGCCGGTTTTCAAGGAGTTCCACAAGCTCCAGCAGTTCTTTAAAAACCCTGTCCATTTATTGTAATATGTAAAAATATAAAGAACATTAGTATTATACAATATTTGTGCATGTTTATTGTAATAAACAACAGTGGTAAACAATAATATGATAATAACTTTAGTGCGGTTATTGTGTTTAATACAGTGAGTAATATAATATCAATTAAAACAGTATTGGTCTCTCAGGCCCCCCAAATTAGTAGAATAGAAAAAATTGTAAGAAAAGAAAAAACAACTAAAACAACAAAATAATATAATACGCGTAGGGAATTCTCGATTTGCCGCCACCACATCATTTCCCACAAACCTGGCACTGTACTCGTTTAAATACTGAAAACAGAATCCCAATTTTTTTGTTTAATTACCTTCACAAAATATGCTCATTAAAATTCTGAAAGTAAAAAATAAATTTTTTTTCAAAAATCTTACACTGGTGCCCTTTACTCAGATTTGGCCTTGGACCCTGAAGGGTTTAAAAACTCTAAAGTAACTCATAGTCTGGGAAATGGGGATGACACAACATTAATTGGCTTCTCACTCACACTCTGTAAATCCCCTTAAAAAGATAAAAAAAAATTTGGCTTAATTTACCCTCACAACTATTGAAGGTCCGACCTCTTCACTAATTTATTTTCCAGGGTGGCTTTTTCCCGGTAAGACATATGCATAGTAATGGCCCATGACGTGTGAGCATGCCAAATAAAAACCCCATGCTAAGTTGAGCTATATCAGGTTTTTGAGCTAGGCCAGGGAGGTATCCAGTGTAAAATAAGGCCAAGTTTGATATGCCAAGTGAAGCTTGCCAAGTAGAGCTATACCAGGGTTTAGCCCAGGTCAGTTGTAGCAACCCAATGTGAGCATCCAAGTGTGAGCTAGCCAGGTGTGAAGAGCTATGCAATGGAGCTAATGCCAAAGTTACCTTTTTTTATTAACACATAGCCATTTTCCGCCAAGGTAGGGTGACCTGGAAAAGAAGAAACACTTTCATCCTCATTCACTCCATCACTATCTTATTAGAGGCATGCCTACACTACAGTTATAAAACTGCAACTTATCAACACCCCTCCTTCAGAGTACAGGCACTGTACTTCCACCTCCCGAAATCAAAATCTGGCCTGCCGTTTCCCGAATCCCTTCATAAATTTTATCTTGCTCACACTCCAACAATATGTCAAGTCCTAAAAACCATTTGTCTCCACTTGCTATCTTACATGCTCATGCATGCTTGCTGGAAGTCCAAGCCCCTCGCACACAAAATATCCTTTTCCCCCTCCCTCCAACCTTTCCTAGGCCGACCCCTACTCCACCTTCCTTCCACTACAGATTTAAAAGCTCTCCAGGTCAATTCCATTCTGTTCCATCCTCTCTAAATGTCTGAACCACCTCAACAACCCCTCTTCAGCTCTCTGGATAATATTTTAGTAACCCCGCACCTCCTCCTAATTTCCAAATTACAGATTCTCTGCATTATATTCACTCCACACATTTCCCTAAACAATTTCCACTGCCCTCCGCCTTTTCCATTTTGTATCATCACCACCCATGCTCACAACCCATATAAGAGCATTGGTATGACTATACTCTTATACATTCCCCTTTTTGCTTCCATGGATAACGTTCTTTCTTTCCACAGACTCCTCAGTGCACCATTTACCTTTTTCCCCATCATCAATTCTATGCATCACTTCGTCTTTTATAGACCCATCTGCTTACAAGTCCACTCCCGAATATCTGAATACATTCACTTCCTCCACACACCTTCCCTCCAATCTGGTATCCAATTTTTCATTATCTAAATTATTTGTTATCTTCATCACCTTACTCTTTCCTATGTTCACTTTCAATTTCCTTCTTTTACATACCCTTCCAAACTCATCCACTATGCAACTTCTCTTCAGAATCTCCCAAAAGCACAGTGTCATCAGCAAAGAGCAACTGTGACAACTCCAACTTTGTGTCAGATTCTTTATCTTTTAACCCCACACTTCTTGCCAACACCTGAGCATTTGCTTCTCTTACAACCCCATCTATAAATATATCGAACAACCATGGTGACAGCACACATCCCTGTCTAAGGCCTACTTTTACTAAAAAATAATCTTACTCTCTCCTACAAACTAACCTGAGCCTCATTATCCTCATACAAACTCTTCACTGCTTTCAGTAGCCTACCTCCTATTCTATACATCTGCAACATCTGCCACATTGGCTCCCTATCCACCCTATCATATGCCCTTTCCAAATCCATAAATACCACAAAAACTTCTGCACTTTATTTAAATGCTGTTCACCTATATATTTCACTGTGAACACTTGGTCTACATACCCCGTACCCTTCCTTAAGTCTTCTTGTTCCTCTGCATTCCTGCTCTTCATGTGACCTAGTATAACCTGTAACAGTTGTGACCTAGGCCAAGTGTAACCAAGACAAGGAGTGACCTATGCCAGGTCCCTTGATAGATGGCCAGGACCTTTACAATGTTAAATAACAAAATACCAACAGATTTAAAGGTTAAGACTAACACTTACCATGAGTTTATATATTTTGGATCCTTTGGACCCGAGTTTGGAGTAGACTGTGTCACCATGAGAGCTCTCCTTCTCTAGGGTCCAGCCCGATGAGTGGAGGGTCTCCCAGGCCCTGTGCAGTGCTTCCAAGCCTCTAGTCTGTAACTGTCTCTCCTGGAAAGAAATAATTTATGCTCTTTATGTTTTGTTTTTTTAACATATGCAGTGCTATTACACAATAATCATGAGCAAGCAATAAAAGATGCAAAACAAACGAGGGAGTTGAATGATTTCCCTAGGCTTTTCGTATTGCTTTTCATGTTGTTTCTGCAACACTGCAGAAATTGCAGTGTTGCAGAAACAGTAGGAAATACAGCCAGATTCATTCACGGAATGACTCACTTACTCTCACTCTCTCTCTCTCTTTCTCTCTCTCTCTCTGTCTGTATGTCTCTGTCTGTCTATCTGTCTCTCTCTGGAGAGGGTCATTCCCCTGAACAAATTTCCTTGGATTTCCTACTCGATTTCTGCAATACTGCAAGCTTCTGATGTAATGATTGTATAATGAAAGGCCTGGAGCTATCACTCAGCTCCCCATGTGGTTGTTACTACAGTACTATGATGATAGCCAGTCACTTATCAGGTTTGATCCAAGGGACATTAGCTACATTTCCTTGAATCAAGAGCCCTTCACCAACTTCAAGGTTTTATGTTGTTCTACCAAAGTGGTAGTGGACACAGATTTAAAACACATGAAATTTTGAAAAGTTTCCAGACATAACAGAGTGATGCAGAGCTTAATGGAGGACGTAAACAAACAGACTGGCGTGCGGGCGCCATATACGTAAATGAACCTGGGGAGGGAGTCATGTAAACAAATTTTGGTCATAATTTGAAATGTCCATATTAGTGCATCACCTTAAAGTAAAGTGCTTATTTTTATATTTCATAAGGCAGGACCCTACTGTTCCTTCTTTCCCATTGCACTCGCAGTCTGATGGTGAATGGTGGACCTGTGGCATGAGGCATGGTGGAGGAGGGACATGAGATAAGGCGGCATATGGTGGAGTAGCCCGGCCTTTGTCGCCCACCCCCATGCCAGTGGCCCAAGCACCTTTTCCCCCCCCCCCCCCTTCCCCTCCCCCATCTCGCAATTTCCCCTTTAAAGGCAGATTACTATCATGGCGGGGGTTTTAGATCTAACCCCCACACCCTGAGGACTGCATATGGCCACGCCTACATGGGCAATAACACCTAAAGGTACCTTTACGGGGAAATAATTACATCGCTTCACTTGAAAAATCCCTGGGGGCATAAAATCAATTTTGCCATCACGAACATTTTTCACTTTTATCATTACCAAAAACTGCGGAAAAATTAAAATTTTTTCATTTACTTTTAGCCTCCGAGTACAACACGGGCCCATCCCAAGGTGCTTGGCTCATGGTCAAGTATCACACTCCCACCTCAAAGATCGGACTGAGGGTCGGTGGGCCACACTGACCACACCAAGGTCTTGCTGGGGGTCGGTGGGGCCCAATTTACCCATGCTGGCCACCCCAGATGAAGGGGCTGAGGTCACCCTTGATCATTTGTGCCACATTGCCTCGACCCAAATAAACTCAGGTTCTATATCCTTTCCCGAATAAAAAGGTGAACAGGGGGGTGAGTGAATCCCCAAGTTTGCCATAATTTTTGATCCAATCTGGTACTAAACTGACTGGTGCCCCCAAAAGGGTACTGGGGCCTCCTATTTTTTTTAATATCACTAAAAGGCACAGACCAATTCCATGTCTGTGCCTCCAGGCCTATCGCGCCAAATTTGAAGGCAGGAAAAAAAAAACCTTTTACATTTGGAGATTTTACATAAGAACACAAAAACTACATTCTTACTCAAAACATTAACCCAAACTACATTTATTCAGCTGCACAAAGATAAATAAAGATTCACAAATTTATTCTTGTCCCAATTAATTTGCACACTCCTGTACTATGAAGTACATAGTAGATAGATGCTGGTCATCTTCCTATGTCTCCCACATCATCTGCATTGTTACTGCTGGAGCTTTACAGCTCCTTCGACTCAGAATTAGTTATTCTGGGTTACCACTAGACCACATCTGTAAGCTCATCTAGCCACCAGGTAAGATATGAAAAATTACTATACTGTACTCTTCTGTATTGTGTTATGATGTACTTTTAACTCATTTTCTTTTCGAGTACAGGTAATACTGTATTATACTCTAGTTTCTTACTATTTCTGGTAGTCAATCAATACAAGAAAACAAAGTCTGTGTCATTGGGCATTTGTCTCTGTTCGGTAGTCGATAGATTAAGCAATTTTTTTTTTTTTTCAACAAGTGGGCCGTCTCCCACCGAGGCAGGGTGACCCAAAAAAGAAAGAAAATCCCCAAAAAGAAAATACTTTCATCATCATTCAACACTTTCACCACACTCGCACATTATCACTGTTTTTGCAGAGGTGCTCAGAATACAACAGTTTAGAAGCATACACATATAAAGATACACAACATATCCCTCCAAACTACCAATATCCCAAACCCCTCCTTTAAAGTGCGGGCATTGTACTTCCCATTTCCAGGACTCAAGTCCGACTAAATTTGAAAATAACTGGTTTCCCTGAATCCCTTCACTAAATATTACCCTGCTCACACTCCAACAGATCGTCGGGCCCCAAGTACCATTTGTCTCCATTCACTCCTATCTAACACACTCACGCACGCTTGCGGGAAGTCCAACCCCTTGCCCACAAACCTCCTTTACCCCCCTCTCCAACCCTTTTGAGGACGAACTCAATCCCGCCTTCCTTCCCCTATAGATTTATATGCTTTCCATGTCAATCTACTTTGATCCATTCTCTCTAAATGACCAAACCACCTCAACAACCCCTCTTCTGCCCTCTGACTAATACTTTATTAACTCCACACCTTTTCCTAATTTCCCCCACTCCCGAATTTCTGCATAATATTTACACCACACATTGCCCTTAAACAGGACATCTCCACTGCCCCCCAAAACCCTCTACTCGCTGCTGCATTTTCCACCCAAGCTTCACACCCATATAAGAGTGTTTTGGGACCCACTATACTTTCATACATTCCCTTCTTTGCCTCCATAGATAATGTTTTTTGACTCCACATATACCTCAATGCACCACTCACCTTTTTTCCCTCATCAATTCTATATTAACCTCATCCTTCTAAATCCATAAATACTCCTTGAATTCATCACATATTTTTCAGCCGCTTTGTGGTCCGAACTGGCAGCCTCACCATGCCGTATCACACTATGGATGCCACTACCTTCTTAAATCTCTCAAACCAAACCTTTTCTGGCCTTAAATTCACTCACATCATCACTAGTTGCAGGCATTTTTTTTTAAATTTAAAACGCATGCAAATTCCTAGCCTTTTCACATATGATCGCTTGAGAGACGCTATCTCCTGCTAGCTGTTTTTCATTTAAACCACACCAATAAGAGTCTCTCAACATCTTCCATCACTTGCGATCTTTGTTTCGAAAACACAGTTAAACCTTTGGCAACAACAGCTTCCTTGATTGCCGTTTTCTTGCCCACAATAGAAAGAGGGTTTTTAAATTTGGTTTCTTGTAAAACCTGACCAGGTGGGTGAACGTACCCATTTTCATACTTATCAATGATCCTTTCTTCATTTCAAGGGTATCTTACCCTTGAGTGTGGGGTTTGGCACTAGAAGCTTTCTTGGGCCCATGGTCACTTATTTTTCCAAAACGCCCGAAAACACGAAAATACGAAATATTCCAGTGTATGCTTGATTTACCGCGGAGGCGGCGTAAACAAGGGCTTTGGCGGCACATTGAGGCTGCTGAGGCGCACTTGGACGCGTCCCCGGGACGAAGGGCCGCTGAGCGGTTTTTGTCCCCTATGCGGGGCAAAATTTTAAACGAACAAAGCGTCCCCCTATGCGGATTGTTCGAAAGCAAGGCGTTTGCTTGCGGGGGGACACTGTATTTGTTTCGTGATTTAATTATTATAAAAAAAAAAAAATTATAAGGAAAAGTTTCACAAACTCTTACAATTACATAATGAACTAAAACTGGACACGTATTTAAACCCTCTATTTCGCCTGACGAGTGATCGTCCACAACCCGTTCGTTTGTTTGTATACCTTCGAGCTCGGGGATCATTAAATGGTATATTACGTTAATAACAATTTTCATTTAAACCATCCGTGATTTTTTTTCAAATTTAAATAAAAACGATACTAACATAAATAATAACAACATATGTGTAAAAACCCAGGATAACCCAAAAAAGTCAGGTGACTTACTTCCATTGCCTCATCAGAGCATCATTTCTTCTCAAAATGATGTTACATGAAATGGGGGGTGTTTTTTCTTTTTTTATTCTCCGTATCAATGTAGAACAACCCCGAAAACAATGTAACTTGTAACAACCAACGGATACTTTGTTTACAAAACTTTCCTTCGCCTGGTTTTTTACATAACTCTGCGGGCCGTCCCCCCTCATGCACTCATTTTTTCTCTCGGGGAGGTAGCCTGGTGACACCAACAACCACACTTGATTTTTTTCAATAAATACACTCATCCCCCTATTTTTAAGGTAAGTAATGAGTGAAATTATATACATTTTATCGCTCGGGATCTTAAAAAACAAGAAAAAGTTTTGGGGGGGGGTGGGGCCCGGAAAGGACCCGGCTGATTTTCCATACATACCACACTTGATTTCTTACAATAAATACTACTTGTCTCACCCTAGATTAAGACTATAAATATTTTAAGGTAAGTAATGAGTGCACTATGTGTGTATTGTACTTTTTTATTGTTTTTTTGATGCCTGGTTCTATTGCTAACATAATATATGTTAGTGTAAACTTGTTATCTAGTGTTTGTATGCATTTGTAAGTGGAAAAAAAGGGTGTTCCACTTTACGGCGGTAGCCTGGAACCTAACCCGCCGTATAAGTGGGGCCCTCCTGTATGTAATTTTTCAGCCATCAGTGAATGAAATATGCTGACATAACACCCCCTAGGGGTAATTTATAATCTTACAAATTATAACTCTTTACAGCCCGTTGAGAGATGACTTAGACAGCTTCTCAAGACCTCGTCTGCAGGGGCGGCTGTGCAGGCGATGAGCTGTCTTTCTAAGTT